ATGTTTTATCAGTTATACATTTTCGATTTTAAAGCTTAAGATATATACTTACATAAATGTAAGTGAATGTAATAGAAAGTCACCTTATTTGAATTATTTGGATTGTATCTGTACTTTTTTCTTGTCAATTTGCTTAAAAAGTTTTTGCTCAAATCGTAGCATTTCTGAAAACTCACGCCGCAACAAACTTACTACACTGTTAAAAATTTCTTTCCAAAATTACGGTAAAAGGAACGGCAGCAGTCTGTCCATCCGATTAACCGTAAAGTTTACGGTTGAGAAAAGTTATTTACCTTTACGGATTTAATACTGTTTACAACAAACACGGTTAAAAAACAATGTTAACAAAAATAAACGGTTGTACTACTGTATACACCTAATACGGTTAATTAACCAGGTCTAAAGAATTTAATTTGTTTATAACCGTATAGTTTAATAACAGTAAATATAAAAGTCTATGGTTTAGAAACTATTTACAACATCTCGGGCTAAAGAGATAACTATCATTTATAACAATAAAATAGAATAATTGTTTCATATGGAATGTCACTGAATATGTATGGAATCTTTACGATTTATTTTCTAATTGGAACTAATACAGGTAAAAAAAATTAACATTAAGCCATTTATAAATTTATGAGACTAAAACATTGAATTACGATCAGAAGATGCAAACAGCTTATTAAAACTGTTTAGTAAATTGTTAACTCTATAATATTAGTGACCAAGATTTCAGAAAACAGATTAGGTGCTGAAATAGTTTAAATTTTTCTAAGAAATATGAAAATAGTTCGCAGCTANAAGTGCAATGGCGCTTACTTATCACTTGACACTGCATAAGAACACATGTACTCAAAATTACATTTTTACGAGGGATTCAAACTTAAATACAATATATAATAACATGAAATAATTGATGATGAAATACTTACATTTTGCATCTTAGTCTTGCTCAATGGTGATGGAGATCCCATGCATTCCATCAAAGCTCACGCGATTTGGAATAATATTTATATTTCCATTATCGCATGAGCTTTGAGCTTCTAACGCTTCTCTATGGCGAAAGACCTAGATGGCGCGAATAAATTTACAGTTGTTTTAACGTATTTGGTTAAAATGATCAATCGACGATTTTTTTCACAGTTAACAGTTTGATTACCATATTATTTATGGTGATTTGACTGTTTTGTTTGAATATGGTGAAATAACAATGAAATAAATTGTTATTTAACCATCTTTTCCGAGAAATTTCTAACAGTGTACCCTAACTATGAGAAAGGGTTTCAGATTAATATAAATTTTAAAACTGTTTGCTAATAGTTTATCATATTTTATTCAAAAATAATATTTTAAAATTGATTATGTCCGTCCTATACTATTAAAGAAAACAGTCTTATGAAAGTGCGTTTAAACAGTATGGAGGAAAGCATACTAAATTCTTCAGAAAAAAAAAGTGACATAAATATCATAGTATGTAGCAATTTCATCTTTTTTATTTCTAATTAGTAATATCATGAAACTTTAAATCTGAATATTATAACCTTTATATTTAAAATACTTTTCATTTTCTGTAACAAACCTAAAAGGAAACATTTTTATTTGCTTTTTTTTCTTTTCAGTGAAGGACATTTTGTAATGATGACTGAATTTTCCTTCTCAAACCAAAAACAAAACTAATATTATCCCAATTTTGAAATAAAATACATCGCTCATTGCTTCATTATCAAATATTCTATCTATTATAATATTTAATGCATTTTTTTCCCTGTGAGACATCCTGATGAATAAATTTCCGAATATGAAAATGAAATATGTCATTGTTTGCTTTAATTATCGAATATCCTTTCTATTGTAATCTTTTTTATACATTAAAGTTTTTTTTCTTAAATTTATTAAAGTTTTTTTCTTAAATTTATTAAAGTTTTTTTTCTTAAATTTATTAAAGTTTTTTTTCTTAAATTTATTAAAGTTTTTTTCTTAAATTTATATAGTTTCAACAGTTATAAGAAATGTGTCGTATAAGTAATGTATTTTTTTACATAAAATATTAGCTTTTTTAAAGTTTTATTTATTGTAAGTAACTGTCTTTGTTTTGCTATTTTTTTATATATTTAGATTTTCGAAAAATCTTAATTTATCTACTGAAACTTAATGCATGGTCCAAAATATTTACTTTACAATTTACTTATTTCGTTTAAAATTTTATATCAGGTGCTATACTACGAAATCTAATTTTTATTCCTACTATCTTATTTGAAAAATACTTCGAATATTTTATTCTGATATTACAAAATCTTAACAATTGAAAGGAATTTAGTTTCAATCTTCAAATGACTTTTGTTTTCAGTACAATCTATAAATATTCATAACCATAAAAAATTTAAATAATTTATATTAAAGACTATTATTGCAAAGTAAAAACATTTCTTTAAACAATAATTACGACACATTTTAAGTAAATCTAAAGATAATTTTTTTATAAAAGGAGTTTGCTAAAAATTTAATTAATGAATCACTTATAAAATTAATGTGGGTAAAAGCAATCAGCATCAATGATATATGATACCAATTAAAATATTGCCTTTTATTTTCTAAATGAAGCTATTCATTCATTGCAAATAGAGGATTTTGAAATAGTTTTATTGATTTAAGGATTCGTTTACTTGAATTAAATACTCGCCTTTTATTTTGTGTAATATAATATTTTAAACGCTCCTGTTTTAATAGGTCTTTAGATTTTACTACGAATTAGTTGTTAAAATGTTATTAAGAAGAAAAAAAAAAGCTGACTCATCATTTTTTATTGTATGATTAAGTTAATGCAGAGAAAGATATAATATTACGCGAGTTTAAATAAACGTTTTATTGGATATTATTTAAATAAAAGGGCCTAGAAATTTTTTTTATAATGATCTCAATTATTAAATTTCACCTTTTTTTTAATTTTATAAATTATGTTTAGTTATGAAGAGGAAATAAATAAGAATTTGTACTTTCTTGCTTCCTTGGAATTTTCATTGATTGTTCTTGGAAAGACTTATTCTGTGCTGTGAAACACTGTCAATAATGGTTATTTTATAATGTTAAATAATATCTAAAATCCTTTTAACTTATTATTATTTTTTAAAACTAATTCATTTTGGTGTATACGAATTATCTGAATTTTTTTTCTAGCGTAAATATATTGATGCTAATACTAAAATCTAATTTATTCAGATTTAAGAACATACGGTATAATTACTATTGAATAATTCAGTTTAGAAATAATGGGGATAGTATTTTTTGGTTTAAAACTTCATTTGCTTCAAAAATATATGAATTGGAAATAACAGTCGATATGTTTCAAGCACTTAAAAATCGGCGCCCGTTTTCAAGAATTGTTAATAAGAAAAACAAAAGTGATTTGAAATATAAAACGAATGTTGCCAACAAAATATATTTCTATTCACTTTTGTTTCTTCTCATTTACGTCTGACAAGTCTTGAAAATGGGCGTCTATTTTTGAGCACTTGAAACATGTCGACTGTTATTTCCAATTTATATATTTTTGAAGAGAAAGAAGTTTTCAATCAAATAATATCTTACCGCTTTAGTTCCTTTGGTATTTTTAATTAATAGAGGTATTAAAAATTAATATGCTTCGCTTATGTTAATTTATTTATTATATATATTTTTAAGACATGTATTTCTATAGATTCTACCCTTTGAAGAAGATTTGCTTTTCGTTAAATCTTTTTCCTCTATATTATCAAATATATTTTGTAGATTTTCTTACACTTCTCACACAATTCTATGAATTTTTCAGCCATTTAATTGCTATTCACATATTTCCTCATCGAAAAATTCGATACTAGTTAGTCCCCCTTCTTTATGGAACAGGTTAAAACACGTGTGTTTATTTATCTAATTATCATTATTATTTATTTTTTCATGTTATTTATGTTTTTTTTTTCCACATCGTTTTTATCAAAATTATTCTGTACAGCAAAAGCATGACTTGTGTCATCGTGATTCGAATATATATTTCTTTTTGTTACTTTTTTTATCAAACAATTGTTGTATGTATTTTTGTTTCTTAAATGAAAAATATATACAATGATATTTTTTTCTAATTTTTCATCAGTATTTATGTTTTAAAATAGCCAAATCAATGTAATGATAGTTAATTGAACTGAGTAAATAGTAAAATTTGTGCAATTATTTTTTTCTTCCTGAAAATTGGTTAAATGCATAAAGCTCTTTATGCAAAATATATTTTCTTTATACCAAAATAAAAGTGTCCATATTAACAATGGACATTTTGGTTAAGTTTTATTGAAAATTATTTTTATGCATGTAATGTTTATATTATTTGGTTTTTTTTTTTTTTTTTTNATTTACTGATGATATATTTTTTGGTTTTTTTTTTTTTTTTTTGTAAATAATGTATTGTTGTAATTCTAAAGCCGTTCATACTAATTGTAAATTTTGCAATTTTAATAGTAGCGATTTCTACAATTCGCTACTATTAAAATCAATCCGAGCACTAATTTTTTTTATACAGTTGTTTTACTGTAAAATATTTATATTTTTATTTTTGATACAATTTGTTGGATGATGAAGAAAATTATTCACACTAAAAAAAAACATTAAAAATCTTTTAAAAACAAGTAAAAATTCAATTCAATTTCATTTTTTTTTCCATTTTAAGACTTAACAGAAATTAATAAAACAATTTAAATAAAGTTCCCCCTTCCCATAACAGCAGAAACCTACAAAAATAAGCATAAAAAATAGTTGTTTATTTACTATCTTATAATTGTAAAATATTATGATTTAAAACTTACACATCTATATGTAAGGTGGATGAATATGTATTTCACATGTAAAAATATAACTTAGGGGGCTACAATTGAATTATTTTGTACAATTCCAATTATTCGATCTTTTTTTTCAACCATTTAAAAGATTAAAGAATCGATTAAATTTAATATTGATTTTGCCTCTGTTTTATTTTCCAGGAGGAGATGATGTTCAGCAACTTTGTGAAGCTGGTGAGGAAGAATTTCTTGAAATAATGGCTTTGGTAGGAATGGCCAGTAAGCCATTACATGTTCGGAGGCTACAAAAAGCCCTCCAAGAATGGGTTAGCAACCCGAGTAAGTAAACAAATTTTTCTATTTTTAACAGAATATAATAATAATTTTTTATAAATTAAAACATAATAAATATTTGGACATAATATTTTTTTAAACAAAGGCAGTTTAAAATTTTGAGAACAAGTAAGCTTTAACTTACGTCTTCGTTTTAGTACAAATGATTTTAAAATATTCTTTCGACGTAAAAAGTAGCATCACATAATTTATGAACATTTTTATTTAATTTGATGAAGCTTGATGCTTCTAACTCGCTGTTAAAATGCGATATAGCTTTGTTGTTGATTGTTTTTTTGTTTTTCTTTTTTTTATTTATTGAACTTTATATTCTCTAGTAAAAATCGTTTCAATAATTATGATATTTATTATGAGTTACGTTGACTTTACTTAAATTGAATTTCTAATGGAAATTTCTAGCAAAAAATGTTTATTTGTTAGAAATTTGCAAATTTATTGTCTCGGGATACAGTAAATCTTGTTTGAAAAAAATATTCAGAAAATATGTTATGACGTATCGTATAATTTTTTTTTCTTTTTTGCATTATGTTTTGAAAAAACAAAACATATTAAATATTATAGATAAGACAATTTTCCGTTAAAAGTTTTCAAATCATTTGTTTTGTTTGAAGACTCAGACAGCTTTCCAAATATTCTATTTATAGATAGTTATTAAAAAGAAAAAGAAGAAGCAAAAGAGTTACCTAAATATGCTTCAACCTAGTATAGATTTTGTTATAAACATTTTTATAGTACTTAAGAAGAGCTTATGGAATCAAATTAAGATTTTTTTGATTTAAATTATTTTTAAATTTTTTTATTTACAGAGTTTAATAAATAAATGTTATAGACTAATTTTAAAATATAACTGACCTATTTAAACGCATGTAAGCACACATTTTAACTTGTTATTAAAAAGAAAATTCTATTTTTAAATTCATTTTATTTATAAATATTTATTCTTTTAGTTTATTTAAATATGCAATAATATTAAAAATTATACGCATGTATTATGTTTATATATGGCACAATTTATAACCCAAAATTGAATGTGAACTCTTTATTTTAAAAATCTTCCTAACGAATACAGCGTCATGTAAAAATCTTCGACCAGTAGAGTTAAAAAATAAAATAAAGATTATTTGTCTTTAAAAACATCACAGTTATATGCATCTTTTGAAATATGTATGCATCTTTTTTAAGTTATATGATATAAAACAGTCAACAATTGAAAGAAGTTAAAAATTGAAAGAAGTTAAAAATATATACTAGCCAGAAACTTCAGTATGTCATTGTAATTTGAAAAGTGAAGTATTTATTACCCATAGAAGTTTTTCAACACCATATTAAGTGTTCTGAATCATCTATTTTAATTGTACGTTTTTGATATTCGGGGCCTTTTAAATATTACGTATAGAAATCTGGTGATTTTGTACTCAGCCTGCCTTGTCAGTAAAAATATGCAAATAAAAAAAATCTTCTCCCATGCTTAAATAAGGAAATGGCAGCCCCCTTCCTTATTGGTTTTGCTTTAACTTTGACTTGTAATGTAATATAGTATTCTAGTGTTAGGATTTAATTCTTACAAACTTTGCTTTTCGTTACAACAAAATATACATTTTAATTCATCTTGTAGAACTTAGAGTAGAATTTACTTAAAGTAATATTTTGCTTTCCTTTTGTATTCACTTTACTCTTGTTTTCCGAAACTCTTCTAGCAAATATTTTTCAAATCCCCCCCCCCAATTTGATTTTTATTCCAAATTTACAAATTTCTCTTTTTGCTTTATAAAAATATTTTGGAAATACGAGGACTTTTATGTCTTACGTAAGCATCGCTCATATCCCTCTTCCCCCTTATCAGCAAAAATAAACAAATCATGAAGATTAGATGCAGCCCTTCATTAGATGCATTTGAACAGCCCTTCTGGATTTTTCAAATTTCACCATGTCTGAATCCAAATAACAATATTTCTCATTCAGGATAAAAATAGTAATCTAGTTATAACATTAATATAAATATAGCATTATACGTGTATAAAGTAATGTTTTTACTTATTTTATTTTAATGTCATTGGAAAATGTAGTTAAAATTCGTGTGGTAATAGTGAGTAAATTAGTAGTATTAGTAGTTCGGGTAGTATTAGTAGTTAAAATTCGGGTGGTGCAAAGAAAATTACATGAAATACCATTTTGGTGCATAAAAATATAAAATTAAAAATATCATTTATTTATTTCTAATAAAGAAACGATCGTAAAATAGCATAGTCTTGCAAACACGGAAGTAGAAGTTCAGTTGTTGACATGAGTTTTAAAAACCACGTGTCTTAGAGGTAAAAGGTGGGCTTCTTTGAAATGTGCGCAATGTTGACAGAGGAAGTAGGCGGAGTTAACAGAAGTCATTCAAAATGTCCCTTGTTTGAACTACGACTTAGTATTGGCTTAGGGTCTCGTGATGGGCGGGGTTTCCTGTCATTAAAGAAGAAGGGCCTCATACTGTATTCATGCTCTTTCTCCCCTCCCCGGGTATTCAAAAATGCTTGACTGGTCCCCAATCGATGGGGATTGGACGCTGCTGATGAATTCAAGCATTGAGATTTGTTTTTTCCCACTTAAATTTTTTTTTTAAAAATTAACATTGATTAAAATCGTGCATAATTTTTTTAAAGTTAATGGAGAAAATGAATTATGTATTTTTTTGGCACATAATTTAAATAAATTAAATCGGGTAATAATGAATTACATATTTTTTTCTTTTCACTTACAGAAATGTTTCTATATGTTTTTCAATGCATTTATTTTTCTATTTTCTAAGGAATAGATTAGTTATTCTATATAAATAAAAGGCTTTTATATACCTGTTCATTAACATTTGACTTAATATTTAATTTACGCTCTTTATTTATTTTTTTTAATTTTCGGTGATACTTCTGTATCGTGATCTATAACTCGCCAACTACAATCGCTAGGGTGCTAAGTGAATTTTAAACTTTTAATTAAAAGAAATTAAAAGAAAGATTTGCCCGGGGGGTGGCGAGTTATACCTTTCGAGTTGTTTTCCTTCTGTGATGATTTTTTCTCGCTGGCTGCTACCCGGAAGTTGCCAAGACTTAAGCGATTATTCTGCCTCAGATCACGATATGAAAATCTTTCTAAATCCTTGCCTAGAGGAAGTAGCATAAAAATTTTATATGCATCTGCATGTTCCCAAATTTCATAAACTTAAGTTTTATTTTTATTTTTTATTTTTTTTTTATCGATATATAATATAATATTGCATTATTTTACTAATAATTCATTACGTAACAACAGCTTTATTTGGTATCAAAATGAAAATTATTCATAAAAAATGGTTTGATAATTTCATTAATAAAAATTTTAGAATTTTCATTACTAATTTGATTTATTTCAATTTTATTAATTTTAGTTTTTGTTACTTATGCTGAAATAATTTTTATAAAAATATTATGAAATAGAAAATTAATTTAGTCTGCAAAACATCATGGAAAATTTCTTGTTTTTAATAAAATTGTATTTTTTAACGAAGTATTTACTTTAAAAACACATTTCCGCTCCGTTTAGTTTATTTTTTCTTCTACTCTTATTATTTAATTTTCATTATTTACTGATTATTTATTTTTCTTTTAGCTATGTTCCAAACACCACTAGTTCCAGCTCTGCCGCCCACTCACCCAAACCACCATATGGGTGGAATGGGGGCTGGGGTCACCCGGGCTGGTCTCCAAGGCAATATGAGTCAAGCTCAACCCCCTATGCCTATGAGGCCGAGTCCCCCTATTCCACCAATGCTCACCAACAACGCTCACTCGTCCCCATCACCTGGACACGGGGCACAAAGCGCCAGCGCAGGCGCCAAAGATGTGACTTCCCCTTCTCAGATGCAACATCTTCATCATCAGCAACAACAACAGCATCAGCAACAACATCAGCAGCACCAACAGCATCTTCATCAGCATCAGCAGGCGCAACATCATCAGGCCCATGCTCCTCCGCAATCTTCTACACAGTCCTCCCAACAGCAACAACTGCAGCAGCAACAGCAACAACAGCAGCAGCAACAACAGCAGCCGCCTCCGCCCACCCATAGTCAGTTGCAACAGATGTATTCTCAGTCCCTGCCGCCCGTAAGTAAACATTTTCAATTCTCAACTCAATCGTTTTATTCAAAATAAACGTTAAAGCAATTAACTGCTACAGTTACTAGTCTAAAACTCAGTACAATATAGGACTTTATTCTTAGTACGTAAGGTTATAAATGTGCCTTTCTTGGTTTCAAAATGTTACACAGAAAAACAACCAACTATTCAAATGTAAATAAGTATTCAAGTTTTATAAGCCCAAAATATGTTATGTATTGTTGTTAAAATTTATATCTATATTTAAAACATAAAACATATGTATGAAAATTTATATGAGGCCAAAATATGCCATGTTCGGTTTTAAAAAAAATCTATTTTTATAATTACATAGACTTTAGTGAAGTCATAAGTCCCAGGATAAATATATTAATCGCATGCAAAAATATTTTATACGCGTTTTTTATTAAAAATTCTTGTTTAGTAATGAGATATGAAAATGAATTTTATCACAACGTAATTAAAAGGGAATAATGCCAATGTAATGAAAATTTCAGTACCTTTTTATTTATTTTTTATCTTTACATTTATTTTTTATAAATGTTTTTCTTTATTTAAAATATTTTTCTTAATCATTCTTTATTTAATAAAACGCCTATAAAGCTAGAAATCTAAGGTAGTTGATTGATTTTGCAATATTTTTTTTTTCGAAAATATTGAGTAAAATTTACAGCACGAAAGTTGTGAACTTCTAGGAACAGTGTGGCCAAGCTTATGCTGTAGATGCAGATTCGTAAATCAAATCCCAGGTTATAAAAATGCTTTGTAATGACGTGACTCGTTCCATATTTTGAATGACATATGGCTCTAGACGAAACAAATTGATTTGCTATTTTTATGCCCTGTTTTCATCACATGATTGAATTAAAGATTATATCAATCACACATATAGAATTTTACTCATTTTTAATATGATACTCATTTCATACCATTAATAACTTTTAAGCTCTAAACTATGACATTTTTTAAAAAAGCAAGAGAAGGAAAAGGCATTACGTATATAAATACAATACAATACAAATACAGAATAAATAAGAAAGATTTTAATACTCTTCTCCATATTTTGATCAGTTAACTTTGAATTGAGTTAGATAACAGTTAATTGTTTACGTAAAAATGTTCTATAAACTTCTTTAAAATTAAACGTAATTATTCAGGAAAGTTTTTTTTTTTCCAACTGAAACTCTCTTTAAAAACATGTCGGATTCTCGCCTTAAATAAAATGAAAAATTAAACTTAAACATTAATGATGATGGCTGAATAATTTACTTTATTTATAACCGTCGTTGAACAGCCGACCCAATTTTTGGGTTTACGAATACTAATGCTCAACTACGTAGCCTTGTAATTTTCAACCCAATCCAGAAGACAAAGGGACTCCTGGATCAAGTATAGGGAAAAATTTGCCTTCGTGGACGACTTTTTGATGGAACTAACCCGCATTTGCATTACATGGAGAGGGAGACCACAAAAATCTCCCACGGTTAGCCTGACGGCAAGAGGACTCAAACCCATGATCCGTCTACCACTGAGGATATTTCACGTCAGCACTGTGGTCGGTGCAAGCCGGATGCGGAATTCGTATCGACCAGCCATCGCTGGGATTCGAACCCGGTTCACCTTATTGGAAGGCGAACGCTCTATCCCCTGAGCCATCGCGACTCATGATGGCTAAATAGAAAGAATTTTTTGTCGGTGGGAGGGGGAGATATATAGAGAATAATAGCCACCCATTAAAAGGTTAAGTTTTAAAAATAATCTGGTGCGCTAAATTTGAAATTTTTTTCTAATTAAAATAATAATAATAATATCTACCTTATGCCTATTCAACGCATTAAACCGTACATGATGTTGAGTAGAAATTTTTTTTAAAAAAATTAAATTATAATGATATATTAAGCGCCGCTCTTGAATAAATTTTTCATGTAATCTTAGTTTCAAAGCGCGTATTAAATATACTAATTTGAAATCAATAGAAATCTCTTTTTCATTCACATAATTAATTAGGTCAAAATGTGACTAAAAAATTGTAATTTTAAAAATTAATAACCTTAGTATTTAAGTAGTATCATATATTTTATAACGCGTTAAATGTTCGAATAATGGTTTTGAAATATGGTCGTATAATCACGATAAAATATTGCTTTCACTTTTTATGTCAGCGTCTAAGTTACGCAACTAATAATCACAACTAATATTTTAATTTCAAGAAATTAATCTATCTTAATATAGCCAGACACCTCATACTTATTTTTTTTTCTCTCCTTTTCTTGAAATAAATAGTTCATTCGGCCATTTTTGTATTCTTGATGGGATTAAGGATTTTTTTTGCCCTTGCTGTTTCTTTCTCGCATTATTACCTTTAAGACAGTTTTAAACCATAAGTTCAGTTTGTTGTCCGTAGAACTCACCCCGGTAATTATTTACAGTCTTTCATTGCGCAGAAAGGGATTAAGAGGGATTAATTCTCCCATCCATTAAAAGTGATTTATTTAGAAGACTTAGATTTTTATGGTGTCTTTAACGATTTCGTGAACAAAAGAAATTCGAAGTTTTAAATTGGAATATGTCTGTTTTTTCATATGAGTGAATTATTTATGAAAATATAGTGATATGTATTATTTTTGACGCTTATTAATGTAATATTCTTCTTTCTAATGCCTAAATTACAGCTATGATTAAACGTTTAATTAAAGCAATAATACTTTTTTTTTATTTTTAAATTTATAACAAAGCTGGAAAAGATTAACTTTTTGTTTTTCAAATACTATTTGGTTCTTTTATATCTTGTTTTTAAGTATTTATTTCGTCCTAAGTATGTTTTTTTCCCTCCTTAAATTGGCATCTTGTAAACTGCATTGATTTCGACGTTTTTATCTTTATTTCAGTTCTATATTTCTTCTTATTGTTTTTATTGAAAAAAAGAAAGCACTTTTTTGATTTGTTTTTATTTTTATTAATGTTATTTAAAACTTTAAACAGATGATTTTTATCATAAGCATATTCGTGTTTCTAAATAAAATGAATAATAATAATCAGGTGTGACTTTATTCAAATGGAACCGAAGTCAATATTTTAGAAATGTTGTGAAAAAGCTTAAATATGATATTAATAAACTAAAACAACCAAAGCCACTCTTGAATAAACAGAGATTGTTCACCTCAATTTAACGTCAGATCACAAGCACAAAAATACCTATTGTCATATTTTTTTCTGGAATTTCAAAAGCTTAATTGTCAACGTAGAAATGCTAATATTACTTTAACAATTTTAACATTAAGTAATCATGGGCCAGAAATATCATATAATGTCTCATAGTTTTATGGAGCCTCGTAGTTTAAACTTAAAAATTTTATCGGTAAAAACTTCTTTTTTTATTTTATTATATATTGGGTTGTTCGGGAGGTAATTTCATTTTTTCCGAACAGAGAACTTAATTGTATTTTTCCCCAGCCATCTTCACACTTAAGCTGCATAATCATTAACATATTTTGACAGCTGATATAGCAAGGCTAGCTTGTGAAAAAGTGATTGATTCTGCGCAGTAGTTTTTGATTGGTGGGCATTCAAATATGGATATTGCAGCATTTTCGGCATTTTTTACTTTTATTCTATCGAGAAGGTAAAAATGTTGTTCAAGCAACAAAAAAATTATCCGATTTGTAAGGAGAAGATGTATCGACAGTATGCCAGTATCGAAATTACTAAATTTCGATCCGACAATTTTGATGCACCACATTCTGAAAGGCCAGTTGAAGAAATAATAAAGACATTAATTGATGCAAACTTGCGAATAGCAAACAACTAATGATAGTAAATGATAAGAGATTAAATTTATCGAATTCGACCGCTCATGATTATTTGAAACATCTAAGTTTAATCTCTGAGCTCGATTTATAGGTTCCTCATGTTTTGAAGAGAAAAATTTGTACCGTATGAGGTTTGCTTCTGCTTCTTGGAAGCGCATCATCGCTGGGGACGAAAAATGGGTTATCTACAAAAAATTTTATTATCTCTACAGTATTTTTTAGAGGATAAAACCTTTATTTCAAATGAGGCGGTCAAAAATCCCCTGGATCAGTTTTTTGCCAGCAAAAAACAAAGATTTATGAGCGTTGAATCATGCTACCGCCAGAAAGTATAATTCCATAAAATATTTATTCACTATAAGAAAATCCTCTTTCATTTTGATAAAAAACGGAAACAAATTACTTTTCGAACAATCCAATTTATTTATTTTTAGATGGTGATTGCTTCTTCTTTTTTTATCTTCTTTATTTATTCACTATAAGAAAATCGTCTTTAATTTTGATAAAAAACGAAAACAAATTACTTTTCGAACAATCCAATTTATTTCTTTTTAGATGGTGATTGCTTCTTCTTTTTTTTTTATCATTTTTATGGTTTTGATAATGACTCAAAAGAAACAAAAAATGCAATTTGTATAGTTGTAAAAAGATTTTTTATAGTATTATTTAAAAAATATAGAAGTCGAAATACCTATAATCCTATAAGTGTTTCGAGGATTTTTCGTCTTCTTGTTTTGTTAAACTTATATTAAGTTTCAATTTGAAAATTTTTTTTTTACAAGCAATATCAATAGTAAAATTTCCTATGCCATGAGGCTTTGCGTTAAATGATTGTCTGCTTAGTTTGATTCTTCAATAGTTTCTATTAATAAAAAATTATTGATTTGATTAACGAAATAATTAAAAATTCCTCAAACGTTTTACACAGATGTTTTTTGTTGAACAATTGCATTATTGTGTTTTGAAATATTTATAAATATCTTTTAGTCTAGCTTCCGTTCTTATTTTTTTAAAAATACAACAATTTTTAATAGTAATTTTTAAATTAGAAGAATTTTATTTTGTGCAATCAAAAAGATTTAGTATAAATTTTTGTAGTTGTTATTTTTATCAAATAGAAAATTATACCAAAATATTAATTCACCACACTTCATTGTTTCTCAGACGATATTTTGCCTC